TTATCAATTGTCTATTATTACTTATTGCTTACGTTGCTTCACCAAATGTAACCTCTAAAGACATCAGGATGTAGTCACTTTCCACTCGACAAGCAAGGTGGATCAAGATTTGTTAACACGTGTGACGTCACCAATATTCGACGACCACGTAATACCCATACAAACAGTGGAATAATGTTTCTGAAGGCTCTGCAACTCTGGACTAGTCACATCATCGCAATTGATGGCAACTGCATCCCCAGACATTTTCTGTGCAGTGAGCTCAAGGATGGCTCACGCAGGCGGGAAAGGCCCAAACTAATGCTGAAGGACACTCTGAAGAGAACCTCAAATGGGGAGGTATCAAACCACTCCAGATCGAAGCCTCTGCTGCGCACAGATCAGTACGGACGTCGCTCATCTCCAGAGCAGCTGCTGCCTTTGACGAGGACAGACGACAACGTCTCGCTGTCGCAAAGAACAGACGTCACAGAGCATCGTCCTCCTCTGTACACACCACAGATTACCTTTGTGAGAACTGTGGGCGCCTGTGTTCTTACAGATCCGATGAACCTCAAAGAAGAAGCAAATACGATTTAACCAAATGATGAATTTCAAGATCTCCCACGCACAATACTGAAGGATATCTGTGGTGTTTTGGAACACTTACACAATGTTTGATGTCTGTGGGTCGCAATCAAAACAGATTACAAAACATGTACGTTGTCGTTTTGAAAATACTAAAAAGAAAGAGGTTGTAATTCCTTTTGTCTGTCGGTTGGTGTATTTTCCCCAACCGAAAGGGATATCATTCAAGTTCAAGCAAGAGGACATGCCACTTGTCTACAGCCATGGAACATTTGTATCTTACATTTAATTTGTGTAGACATCTGTTTTCTAATCTTGAAGTGGTGTCACTGAATCTGAAGTGGTGCCACTGAACATTCTCACGACCTTTTAACAATTTTATGGGTTAGCTTCTGTATTTATACTGTAATACAAACACGTTTTCAGCTGTATCCCAGACACACTGGTACATCTCCTACATCCTGCACATCTGTAAACGTACACCATCCCCTGGTTCCGTGGCTGTTGTTCTCTCGATCTCACTTTACCCTAAATTGTCATTAACATTATCCCGACCAATTAAATAAGGAGATAAGGATAAAGAAAGCTTAGTCATCAAAGCTAAAGCCAGTTTTAATAGACAATCAGTAGATAATATTCAATAAAGATGAAGAACTTACAAACACCATTGTGTGGAGTACACATGGACCAAGCTTTCACTATGAACCACAGTTATATTGACCAAAAAAGTTTTACTCAACTTTGTTTGACTACATTCAGGTATAACATAATCGAGTGGTAGGGCAGCCTAGTGGTTGAAGCTGTCCCTCGTCACGCTGAAGACCCGGTTTAGATTCCCCTCATGGGTACAATGTGTGAAGCCCATTTCTGGTGTTCCTGGTAAAGACCATTCTTAGCCAATATGCATGACCTCGTGGCCAAATCGAAAGCGAGGCTTAAATAGGTTGACCCAACCTTGAAAATGGCGACCTCGAAAAGGAAACATTACTGCTGTGTGCCTTTGCGTTCGAGTGATGCCCGTGAGGATTTTACGGTTTACGGTATCTTTTCACCATATTCCCAAGAATAAGATCATAAGAAGGCAGTGGTTGACAAAAATACGAAGAGATCCTGGAAAATGATTCATAGTAAGTACAAAATAATTACGCCAAAAGGCACAGTCTAGATCTGTCATGAAATGTACAAACTGTTCACTATGTACAATGTGAATGTTACACACTCACACAGACACATTCAAACACACATACACACACACATTGTCATGTTCAAAATCAGTGACCACCCCTTAGTTCATATGTACACAATTGACCCCTCCCCCTGCCTCCCAAAAACAAACTGGGAGACACTCCAACCACAAACACCGCACCTAAACTCATCATCACCTCCCAAGTCATAAATTATTAACGGTCCATTATAATATTTTGTTTAAAGCATATTGACATATGGAGACACTCTTGTCATGATGGCAAGGGAATTTTATTTGCAAATATTCTGCATCAGTGAAATTAGATTGGCTGCAAATCAAAGTAACATTTCAAGTACATGTATACAGGACACACACATGCTGTCAAAAACATTCTTCAATGTGTACTTTCAAAATTACTGCATACTGACCAGTACTTCAGGGATACAGGACAAGCTAATTACAACAACTGAAATATATTTAGTGTTTAAATATCCATTTCAGATGCTGCTAATTAAGAGTCAGAAAGCATGCCACCAGCTCAGGAACCTCCCATAAGAAATCTACCACAGTCACCATATCAGATACAGTAAGAATGCCAGATCGTATGAAGTTAATTTTGCCAACTGACATGGTTTTAAAGAATTTAATACAACTGAACTTTGAATTATATGCTATGTTATTTACATATAAGGATATTGATTGCCCAAACTGTCTAAAATATGAAATGGTGTTAGCCTCTATTCCTTGATGGGTACTTGTAATTCCAGAGAAGCTATGTTATTTACATATAAGGATATTGATTGCCCACACTGTCTGAAATATGAAATGGTGTTAGCCTCTATTCCTTGATGGGTATTTGTAATTCCAGAGAAGATATGTTATTTACATATAAGGATATTGATTGCCCATACTGTCTGAAATATGAAATGGTGTTAGCCTCTATTCCTTGATGGGTATTTGTAATTTTCAGAGAAGCTATGTTATTTACATATAAATATATTGATTGCTCATACTGTCTAAAATATGAAATGGTTAGCCTCTATTCCTTGATGGGTATTTGTAATTCCAGAGATGCTATGTTATTTACATATAAAAATATTGATTGCCCATACTGTCTAAAATATGAAATGGTGTTAGCCTCTATTCCTTGATGGGTATTTGTAATTTTCAGAGAAGCTATGTTATTTACATATAAAAATATTGATTGCCCATACTGTCTGAAATATGAAATGGTGTTAGCCTCTATTCCTTGATGGGTATTTGTAATTTTCAGAGAAGCTATGTTATTTACATATAAAAATATTGATTGCCCATACTGTCTGAAATATGAAATGGTGTTAGCCTCTATACCTTGATGTATATTTGTAATTCCAGATATATATTTATTGTTTGTGTGGTCGAAGAGATAATAGTGATACTTTACAATGCTTATATTACAGTGAAGCAGAGAGTGATACAGCAGCCACTGACCCCCAGTCGAACATAGAACAACTCCACCAGAAATTACATGAACAGGGGAGGCAACTCAAGGAAAAGGTTGACAAAATAGAACAAAATGAACAGAAAACTTGAACTTGAAAAGTTTGGAGTTTGTAAATTCATGTATGATGATAAAAATTGTTTGAACATTTAACAGTATTCCATCATTTCAAACATTGGCACTGATTAGCTGGAACTCTTTCATTTGTTGCATATCTTCCTAGGTCTTGTGAAGTACCTTGCCCAAACAGCACAAGAATTGACAGACAATGTAAATAAAAATTGTTTGGTGCTTTTGTGTTGTGTAAATGATGGATGAAAAAAGAGACAGCTGTAATACATACATATTGATGGATTTAGTTGCATAATAGAAAGGTCTTTCATAATGGCATAGTTGTAGATGTAACTCATTTGCTGCTGTTTAATTAATAATTGATGAAAAGGAATGTATTTCATCCTGTTCGAAAATAGTTAGTTGGGAATCAGAAACAAATCTGATTCAAAAAAGAGATTATGATAATGTGTAAGGGGAGAAAACTATGATAAATTATGAATTGATCCAGCTGTAATTGTTGCCATTCATGTCAGACTAATGTAAAATATATTTTTATCAATAGATATATTTCACCCAATATATTTTCAATTTGCATCCTCTGAAAATTGTATTGTTATTCATCAGTGTTATAGTTGGAAGCTATTGTGAATGTGTCTATTGTTATTGGACTTTTAAGATACCATTTCAAAATAAATTGTATTAACTGCACTCCAGGTGTTATTTATTTAGGTTATTTGCTGTAGTGTGAATCCTGTTATGTTAATCTGATAATATTTTCTCGTTTAAAAGGTCTTCAGTTACAGTGGTACAGAATAAATCAATTTTATGGTTTAGTAACACAGTATTTAAAATTGTTTCAAATATTCCCCATGCAGGTACCATTCAGGTAAAATAATTATTCACCTCCCAATTCAGTCAAGAAAGAACTTGAAAAAAAACCCATCCAGTTTGGTCTTGCACTTTGCGTCCCACTCATGTTGATTGAAATAAATAGTTTCTACATGATGATGGGGCGATTCGTTTTTCCTCTGCGATTGTAACATGCAGTTACACGCACATCGCCATCACCTGTAGGTACAACTGAAAATATTTGCGTGAATAAATACCCTATATCTATAAAACAGAGTCGATAGGACAAAACATTTTCAACAGAAAAAATACCAAACAAATAATTTCATCAGATGAATAATACAGTTTTGTTTGGTCCAGATCCACTCGAGGAGAGCTATCTTGATCTACATATTACTTATAATCTTGACTATCCCCTCAAGAATGAACAACACTACTCCCATGTGGAAGCGGATGATTTAAATCCATGTCAGGAAATACGTTCAGTCTTTTGCTTTGTTCATATGTTGATAAAGTAAACGTGATTGACTTCCCTTGGTAATATTTCCACTATTGTGATTTTAGAGTAGCTTCCCTTCATAAATGCTGCGCAACATGGTAAACGTTAACCTAGATATCTAGGTCATATGACTTATTGTGATGTGTTGTGAAGTACAGTAATTATTCACCCTTCAATCCGTGGATATGGTACAGAAACATTTTTGCAGCCCTTTCCCGTTTCTCTGCGATTTCCCTGAACTACTGGACAGTTCGTAATGTACCGTTCAAGGGAAATTTGAAACCAGGAAGTATACATTGAGATTTGTCGCCATTATGCGATTGTGTCCTTGCCCAGTTTAGCCTCGTTTTGGTACAGATATGAATATTCTAAGAATGGTCTATTGCTGGAATATTGCTAATAGCGGCATAAAACTAAACTCACTCACTGTTACATAAAGGAAATATGTGGCACAATAAGGTCTGGGATAGTTGTCAGGCAATCGATCATTTCTTCAATGATTGTTAACCATTAACGGTGTTCCCATCAAGATGATAGATGCATTTGAAGCATTGTTCTCATCAACATGACAGATACATTTGAAGCATCGTTCCCATCAAGATAATAGATACATTTGAAGCATAGTTCCCATCAAGATAATAGATACATTTGAAGCATAGTTCCCGTCAAAATGATAGATACATTTGAAGCATGGTTCCATCAAGATGATAGATACATTTGAAGCATGGTTCCCATCAAGATAATAGATACATTTGAAGCATAGTTCCCATCAAGATAATAGATACATTTGAAGCATAGTTCCCGTCAAAATGATAGATATATTTGAAGCATGGTTCCATCAAGATGATAGATACATATGAAGCATGGTTCCCATCAAGATAATAGATACATTTGAAGCATGGTTCGAATCAAAACAATAGATACATTTGAAGAATGGTTCCCGGCAAGATGATAGATACATATGAAGCATGGTTCCCATCAAGATGATAGATACATTTGAAGCATGGTTCCATCAAGATGATAGATACATATGAAGCATAGTTCCCATCAAGATGATAGATACATTTGAAGCATGGTTCGAATCAAAACAATAGATACATTTGAAGAATGGTTCCCGGCAAGATGATAGATACATATGAAGCATGGTTCAATTAAGATGATAGATACATATGAAGCATGGTTCCCGGCAAGATGATAGATACATATGAAGCATGGTTCAATCAAGATGATAGATACATTTGAAGCATGGTTCCCGGCAAGATGATAGATACATATGAAGCATGGTTCAATCAAGATGATAGATACATATGAAGCATGGTTCCGTCAAGATGATAGATACATTTGAAGCATGGTTCCCATCAAAACAATAGATACATTTGAAGCATGGTTCCCGGCAAGATGATAGATACATATGAAGCATGGTTCCCGGCAAGATGATAGATACATATGAAGCATGGTTCCCGGCAAGATGATAGATACATATGAAGCATGGTTCCCGGCAAGATGATACATACATATGAAGCATGGTTCCCATCAAGATGATAGATACATTTGAAGCATGGTTCCGTCAAGATGATAGATATATTTGAAGCATGGTTCCCATCAAAACAATAGATACATTTGAAGCATGGTTCCCGGCAAGATGATAGATACATATGAAGCATGGTTCCCATCAAGATGATAGATATATTTGAAGCATGGTTCCGTCAAGATGATAGATACATATGAAGCATGGTTCAATTAAGATGATAGATACATTTGAAGCATGGTCCATCAAGATGATAGATACACATGAAGCATGGTTCCATCAAGATGATAGATACTTTTGAAGCATGGTTCCCATCAAAACAATAGATACATTTGAAGCATGGTTCCCGGCAAGATCATAGATACATATTAAGCATGGTTCAATTAAGATGATAGATACATTTGAAGCATGGTCCATCAAGATGATAGATACATTTGAAGCATGGTTCTGTCAAGATGATAGATACATTTGAAGCATGGTTTTCGTCAAGATGATAGATACTTTTGAAGCATGGTTCCCATCAAAATGATAGATACATTTGAAGAATGGTTCCCGGCAAGATGATAGATACGTTGGAAGCAGTGTTCCCATCAAAACAATAGATATATTTGAAGCATGGTTCCCATCAAGATGATAGATACATATGAAGCATGGTTCCATCAAGATGATAGATACTTTTGAAGCATGGTTCCCATCAAAACAATAGATTCATTTGAAGAATGGTTCCCGGCAAGAGGATAGATACATATGAAGCATGGTTCAATTAAGATGATAGATACATATGAAACATGGTCCATCAAGATGATAGATACATTCGAAGCATGGTTCCGTCAAGATGATAGATACATTTGAAGCATGGTTCCCATGAAAACAATAGATACATTTGAAGAATGGTTCCCACCGGATTAGCTGTATTATTTTAAACCAAGAAATACGGCTAGTCCAGCCAGCATCCCCTGAGGGCCTATGACAACACCCAAAGCTACCCCTCCAGCAACTGCAACTACCCCTGCCAATATTTTCCACCTGTTGTCAGAACTGTCAAAATTATCCCTGGCATTTCTTCTGGCTTCCCTTTCATGGATCTTGCGACATTCATCCTGGAGAGATTTGCGTTTCTTTGACAGCAGAAGTTCCTTTTGGGACTCTGAGTAGCCAGAAAGTGTCCGACTGTATTCCCGAACACCATCATCAATAATATTCTGATCAGATGTTTGGTTTTCTACAATCAGTTTGTCCAGCTTTTTCCCCTCAATCTTCTTCATTTGACTCTCAGCTTCCTGATACATCTTATTTGTGAAGTGACCTCTATTCTGCCTTACAAGTGTGTCTACCAGCTCCAGTAACTTCTGCACAAACTCTTCATTGTCCACAGTCGAGTCGTTGTTAACTGCAATGTAATTCCTCCCAGTTTCATTGATGAAAGTCTTCAGCTTCTTGTTGGAGTCAATGAAGTATTTCAGACTCTTCTCAGACTTCTCAAGCTCATCTTTCCTAGTGAATATGACGATCACGTGACGCTTTGATTCAGAGCCAAAAAACGTCAGAAATCTTCGCACAGACGTTACTTCTTCTTCAGTGAACCTCCCCACACCAATCACAAACAGAATGGCGTGCACTCCAGGAGAGGTGAGGATGACACTCTTCTTTAGTTCTTCTTCTATACTTCTCTGACTTGCTCCAGTACCAAAGAAGCCAGGAGTATCAAGCAGTAAAGTATCCCTCCCGAATCTCTCAAACATGGCGTGTTTGCATGATTTTGTTACCGAAGAGGCTGAACACCCTACTTTGAAAGCTGGTTGTCCGATGATAGTATTCCCCGTGGAACTTTTACCTGATCCTGTTTTGCCGATGAGAATCAGTCGAGTTTCCTTAGACAAAAAGAGTTGATTCCTAGAATCTGAAACATAGTGAGTGAGTGAGTGAGTTATAATTTATAGTCACATCGGCAATATTTCAGCCATATTGTCACTTAAAAAGTTATAAATTAACAATAAACACCATTACATTATAAAACACCTGTCAACGAAGGACAGTAAAACAACTAGATTATCACAGTGATAAATTTAAGACTAGTAATTAAATCTAAAATATCTTACTTTTAAATGACAATACAATATAAAAACCGGCTATAGATTGCCAACAACTGAAGGTAGATCACCATACTAGGGACCATGGGGACTTACAGTACATTTGCTTCCTGCATGGACCCTAGCTGGATTTACACCATCCCTTCAGCCGTTAGCAATTTAGCAAATCTAGCCTTACGTTAAAAGAACAGGTATTCTACGATTAAAAAAGTGGAACGTTTCAATTTACTTCGAATGTTTGGGGACTTACATACCCTCTCAGGAGGACAATAATGTTACAGTACTTTAACCCCCCTCGAGGATACAGCCACTAACAATCTTAGTTACTAATTCAAACTTCCAATCTTAAAATATTTAGGTATTTACAAATCATTTAACAAATCTAATTTTTTAAATAATGAAATAATTAAATGAGAACTGATACTATTAAAAAGATCCTTCATAGTTCGTGATTTAAAATATTTATTCCTTGTGATGGAATATTCAACACAGTCAAGCAGGACATGCTTGACCGTGACTCTTTCATCACAAGGGATACAAAATGGAGGATCCTCACCTTTCAATAGGTATTCATGAGTATATCTTGTGTGGTCAATACGACATCGTCGTATTATGACCTCTTCAAATCTAGACTGACAACCCAAGTAAGTGTTACCAATATAGGGTTTTATTTCATATAATTTATTGATACCTACTTGGGTGTCCCACTTCTTCTGCATCAGATCACGGATGTAAGTTCTAAAGCAAGCTTTGTAATCAGAGTAAGAAATAAGAAGTGAGGTCACAGATTTGTTGAGTGCTGCCTTAGCAGCAAGATCAGCCAGTGTATTCCCAGAAATGCCAACGTGGATGGGTAACCAACAAAAGACGATGTCGCATTGGCCAGTAGCAAGATCATTACACAATTCAATAATTTCTTATAAAAGTGGATGTTTACAAGAAAAAATTTAATAGCCTGAAGGAAAATATTATATATTGTTTATGTTTGGGATGTCTTTGAACATAGTTAAGAGCTGTTAAGATGGCGTTTGCTTCTGCTGTAAATAAAGAGCTGTTATCAGGTATTCTAGAAGATACTGTTCTGGATCCAGTGACAGTGGCACATGCCACTGCGCCACCGTCCTCATCTGTAAATGAGGATTTGTATGTATTATATTTAATTTTTAATTGATCATATTCTCGTTTATACTGTAATTCATTAGTTTCAAATTTCTTAAACTTTGTCAGAGTTAGGTCAACTTCAGGCCTCAACCGGTTGCCAAGGAGGAGGAGAAGAAAGATGATGGGAAGGAGATATATTTTCCAGCTCAATGCCGGCAGCAGAGAGAAATGGTTTAATTCTTAAACCAAGAGGCGGAACAAGAGAAGGCTTTTTATTGTACAACTCCTCATAAGGAGGATTGAAAACACAGTTAAATGCAGGATTAGACTCGTTTGAATAGAGTTTTGTTATATACTGTAAAGATACTTTGATACGACGTTGAGTAAGGGATGGTTCATCAGCCTCAACATAGATACTATCAACGGGAGATGTTCTGAATGACCCAAGACAAAGTCTCAGACCTTGGTGGTTTGGCAGAATCTAAATGTTTTAAGTTGCTTTTGCAGGCTCCACCATATACGATGGAGCCATAATCAAGTTTCGAGCGTACCAATGAACGGTATAGGTGGAGGAGGGTAGCTTGATCCCCTCCCCACTTTGAGTTGGAAACAACTTTCAACAAATCAAGGGCCTTCAGGCATATAGCTTTAAGTGATTTAATATGCGGCAAAAAAGTTAAATGGGAGTCGAAAATTAGACCCAAGAACTTGGCCTCCTTTACAAGATAGTTCTGGGTCTTTATGCGGCTTATATTTTCTACAAAAGTGTAGACAATTAGTTTTGGACTTGGAGAATTTAAAGCCGTTTTCAAGACACCATTTATTTATTTTATTTAAACACAACTGCAATTGCCGTTCAATAGTATGCATATTTTTACCACGACAAGAAATATAAAAAATCATCCGCAAAAAGTGATCCGTCGATTGAATCGTTTAAAACCTTGGATTAACTGTTAATCTTGATACTAAATAAAGTGACAGACAAAATACTGCCTTGAGGGACACCTTGATCCTGATTGTAATGATCAGACAGGGTTGAACCCACTCGGACTTGAAATTGCCTGCCTTTTATAAACTGTGATATAAAAAGAGGCAAACGGCCCCTCAAACCAAAATCATGTAAATCCTTCAAAATGCCACGCTTCCAGGTGGTATCGTATGCTTTCTCGAGATCAAAGAATATCGATACTGCATGTTATTTATTTACTATAGCATTTTTGACAAAGGACTCTAAACGTACCAAATGATCAATGGTACTACGATTTTTCCTGAAACCACATTGGATATTGGTGATAAGGTTATTGGTTTCAAGATACCATGTTAATCGATTGTTTACCATTCGTTCCATGGTTTTACAGACACAACTCGTTAAAGAGATTGATCTGTAAATAGACCGATCAGTATGATCCCGGCCAGGTTTTGGAATGGGGACTACAATGGCATTACGCCAGGAAGTTGGGAAATTCCCTGTAGTCCATATCATATCAAATATATTTAGCAGTGTTTCCAAACACGATTCGGGCAAATGCTTTAGGAGCTGATAGTGGATATCATCAGCCCCTGTTGCTGTATCATGAGCTTGCTCAAGAGCGGTATGTAGCTCATGGAGTGAAAATAGCTCATTATAATCTTCACCATTGTCTGAGTTAAAATTTATTCTTTTCTTCTCCTGTTGTTTCTGGTGGAAACTCAGGGACATAATTTGATGATGAAGAATGTTTGGCAAGAGTTTCGCCAAGTTTATTTGCTATGTCAGTTTTATTAGTTAAGAGATTATCACGATCCTTCAGATGGTGTACATTAGATTTAGAACCTTTGCCCTTTATTCTTTGGACCATGTTCCACACCTTGGACATAGGTGTACGTGAATTTATTTTGGTTTAAATGCGCGTCGAGCCTTGGCATATAAAATTTTAACTTTGTCTAAATTATGGACTGTGGGATGTTTGCGGAAAAACTTTTCATCTTTCTTCCTACTTTTTCTGGCCTGTTTACACTCATTAGTAAGCCATGGTTTACGAATGTGTGGAATTGCAGAGGACTTGGGGATAGTGTGGTCAGCAATGTCATTGAGTATATCGGAAAACAGCTGTATAGGATCTTCGCTGTTTGCAAAAACATCATGTTTTAAGTGATCATCACACAGTGTCTTATATAAGGACCAATCAGCCCTCGCAAAGTTCCTTCTCCACAAAGGTGGATCATCACCAGGGTTGATTGTTTTAAGAATGGTGGGGAAGTGATCACTCCCACACAGGTCATCATGAACCATCCATTCAAATTCATTATATAAGGTTGAATCGGTGAGTGACAGATCCAGGGAAGAATATGTTCCCGTTGCTGGATGTAGATAAGTGGCTGAATCATCATTTAAAATACAGAGATTATTATCTGATATAAATTCCTCGAGGATTTTACCTTTATTGTCGGTATGGACACTTCCCCAAAGCGGATTGTATCCATTCAGATCGCCCATGATGATACATGGCTTTGGAAGCTGATCATACAGATTCTGAAGATCCGACAGACGGACATCAGAAGATGGAGGGATATATAAGCTGCACAGAGTCAAAGCAATGTGCAGGGTCAGTCGAACAGCTACAGTCTGAAGATTAGTATTAGGGGGGCAGGGCTATGTATTATACCCTGTCGTACTAAGATAGAAGCACCTCCAGCTGCTTTATCTCCCGGGGGAGAAAAGGAATGATAATCGCTGTATTGTCTCAAAGTAAAGTTATCTGTAGGTGTTAAATATGTCTCTTGGAGACAGAGTGCTGACGGCTGAATATCTTGTATCAGCAATTGTATCTCATTGAAGTTATTTCGTAGTCCTCTGCAATTCCATTGCATTAAAGTAGACAATTGAGTCATGGCGGCTCAATTGGTGATCTCTCTTGTGAATGCGAGGAGGATAAGCTCCTCCGCCTGACCTGTGAGGACGGAGTAACCTCCATATCTAAAGGTCCAAATGAGTTTTCAAGAGGTACCTCTGGAGGTGAAGGAACAACAAGTAGTTTATCCCTAGTAATCCCTTTTCCTTTCTTCTTTTTAACTTTATTCACGGCTGGTTGCAAAACAGACGTTTGCGATGATGTCTCGGATTGAGTTTCATCAGTCTGAGAACCAGACGTAGATTGAGTGACTTTGACAGTAGGTTTAATAGTTGAAGCTGACGAAAGAGGTTTCTCAGTTTGTCAGTCTGACACGCAGTAGAGGACACTGCCACAGAGCGAGTAACTGCCGCAGCGTAGGTAATGTTTGATGGAGTAGAGGTTTGATTTAGCAGTTTTTTGGCATCCAGGTATGAAACGTTTTTTTCACATTTAAGTTCTATAATCTGCGGTTCACGCTGGAACACAGGGCAAGCTTTCGATGACGCAGGATGAGCACCATTACAGTTAGCACATTTGTACTCTCTGTCGCAGTCAGAATCGCCATGACGATCGCCACAACGATGACAGACTACAGAGTTTCGGCAAGATTGTGAGCCGTGTCCGAAATGCTGACATTTGTAACATCGGAGTGGATTGGGGACATACACATCCACCCCGATATTGAAATAGCCTGCTTTGATAGATGTTGGAAGTGAGGAACGAGAAAAGGTCAACAGATAGGTATTAGTTTTAGTAATGTTACCCTCTTTTTTAACGGTAAAACGTTTTACTGCTGAAACTCCCTGATTCTGCAGCTCTGCGGCAATGTCTTCCTCGGACATATCAGAGAGACACCGTAGCCTGTCACGCACGATGCCACGACAAGAGTTTAATGTTCTGTGTGCAGAGACGGTAACTTTTATGTTTGCAAAGGTATTGATTGACAGCAGATTGAGGGACTGTTGTTTCCGTAAACATTCAACTAAAAGTGACCCACAACGGAGACGAGTAACATTCTTGACCTCCCCACAAATTCCAGAAATAGCCTTTGAAATGGCGAAAGGATTAAGTTTGATAGGAAGAAAATCCGCAGCTTCTAATACCAAAAACCGATTCCAAGAATCGACAGTTGTATTTGTTTGGTCAATTGATTGATCTATGTCGTCAAAACGCCGTTTCTTTTCATGGTGAGATGAACCAGCTTGTTGTTGTGACATGATGAAAGGAATGTGATTCAGCACCTGCTCCCCACCCACCACGGAATGTCAACACGGACAGTGTCTAATAGCACCGCGATATCCAGCATGCAAACACCAGGGATACAAGGGTGATATACTCCAGTAAATACCACATAAATAGCTATATCTGTCTACCAAATATAATGTCAGGCTGGTTCGGCTCTAACAAAAACTTGGAGACTTACAGAATTTAGAGGTCGACATCACCAGATTGGCCCATGAGCCACCGCCTTCTGGCATAGGACTCTAGGCAATAATTTGTATACTATACAATCAAAATTACCAATTACCAATTCAATTGTGCAAAAATACTTTCTATGCACAGGGCATTGCGTGACCAGCCCATTGATAGAACCGGGCCAGTTCTACAACCCGTCTAGGTTAAGTAAGGGCCAAAGTGGTGTGTTGGGCAAAAGGAACACGGTTCCAGGAACCTATTGCCTTCAACCACCAGACTCCCGTCCTCCACCGACACAGGGGGCGCAACCCACGGCAAACGGGTTGGTGGACCAAATATACCCCCGGGTTCACAACGGGGGGTCGAAGAACGCTAAGCGTTACCCGCCACCCACCACGAGGAGGTGGCTCTTCACGGTGCCTCTGACACATAACACAAGGGGAAGTATTAGTTTGGTTAGGAATAACTGTCGGTCAAATCTCAAGTAAACATCTTTGAAGGTATTAGGTCTGTTGAAATACAAATAATAATGGATTAAGGTATGCGTCACCAATGCACATATGAAGATAGAGTGAATGAGTAAGTTTAGTTTTATGCCACTTTTGCTAATATTCCAGCATCACGGCGGGGGACACCAGAAATTTGGCTTCACACATTGTACCCATGTGAGGAATCGAATTGGGGCCTTCAGCGTGACGAGCGGACGCTTTAACCACCTAGGCTACCCCACCGCCCCATACATATGAAGAAGCTTGGATATAAAGAAAGTAAGTGTAGTAATTTGTGTATATTTTGCACAGGCTTGAATTTGAGCGAGAATCAGTCGAGTGTCCTCAGTCAAGAAGAGTTGATTTTTGAAAACTAGAAAAGTAACACAAGGGGAAATATTTGGTGTTGTCTTAGGTATAACTGTCAGCCAACTCCTCTGAGGAACCAGCTCAAGCATACATTACTAAAAGTATTAGATCTGTTGGTTGTGTAATTAGTGTATATTTTTCACGGGCATGAATTTGAGAGAGGAATTCTTACAATGTGTGACTGGCATTTTGCAGCAACCCCGTGCAACACATATCACGACTTCTATCACGACTTCTACAAAAGTAGTCTTCACGTTTTGAGTACAAATGCTGCTCCTTCTGAACCAATACCGGAAGGACGCCAGTGTGAGTCATCCTGCTATATAGTTTGTGCTCTGGTTCTATGTACAATAATACACTTTTATGTCAAACTAAAGGGGCGGCGAGGGTAGCCCAATGGTTAGAGCGTTCACTCGTCATGCTGAAGACCCGGGTTCAATTCCCCACATGGGCACAAAGTGTGAAGCCCATTTCTAGTGTCCCCGTCGTGATAATGCTGAAATATTGCTAAAAACTGCGTAAGACTTAACTCCCTCACTCAAAGTTAAAGGAAGCAACGTAAATACTTTTGAGTTTTCCGAGGTTCAACATAAAATGATGACTTTGTAAGAAATACCTAAATTCCAAGTTATTACTTAAAGGTCACATGCAATGTAAAACACAACTTTGCAGATTCTGATACCTTTCGCTATGGACTTACAGTAACAAATTATCAAAAATGCAAATTCAGCTTATAAAGTTAAAAAATAACGCGATGAAAAAACCCGCGAAATCGGAGTTCAAACGATTCAATAAATTCACCCACGCTGCGGTGAAAAGTGGTTTCAACAGCTGTGCTGCGCAGTGAATAGATTTAGGTGGCTTGATCCGGGATGCCAAAACGCACAAAGAGCCCTGGGGGTATCGGCAAATGAACTAGATAATGAAAGTCTTCGTTACACTTGAGTGCACAACCACCCGCTCTGACTGGGTTCGGTATCCCGGGTGCTTCGTTTCGAGGTTAGTAAACCCAAGTGCAAAATATTGCACTTTGATTTGCGATTGTATGCTTATAATTGTGTTTATTTGTTTTGTCATAATCAGCAATGTATATTATATGTCATGAATAAGTGATAATTGTGTTTTAAATATGGGTTTTGGGGTTTTTTTTGGTGACATTTAAGTTTAAGTTGCCCCTTAAGTTTGACCCAACAGTGTTTGACTTTATGATGGAAGCCAAGTACCCTGTGTTCCGTTCAAAGCAAACCAAACAACATTTCTGTTTGCAGGATGAAATTGATGCAGATCTGCGACATTACTAAATTGTAGAAACTACGGAGCATTCATAAGACGAGATACGAATCTTTGAGCCAGGGAACAGTAGGCACTTACAGCCCATCTTAGGTATGCAAATCCATTCAGTGTAATATGGTGTCTGAACGACATTTGGGTAAGGAATGAAACATGAAATCCGGAAAACGACGAGATTCATTCCATCCATTACCTGGTGCGACAGCCATGTTGTCCTCTGCAGTTGGATCTGAAACATATAAAATATAAGCATGAAAATATACTCTTCCAAAAAATAACCGCATAACCCTGAAATCTGTTGCGAAAATGTTGTATTTTCAAACATGTATAACTCGTCCACAAATAGACTTTAAACATATATTGTTACTTCATTTTAGAAGAAGATTATGTATATACACCTCAGTGGTTAATTTTAGATAACCGTGACGTTGAGCGCAAACGTGACCACGTAGCATGGTCCCGACGTCGGGTCTCCTGGCTCTCAGTCCAATCTCTCTCAACCTGTTCCGTACAGTTTGACCGGATATCCTCCGAAGTCCATGCACCCTGGCTGCTGTGCCCTCACCCGTGGCAGTACGATCACGCAAATGTAGTACCCGGATGTACCGATCTTGGGCTGCACTGGTAACTCGAGGTCTGCCTGTACGGAACCGGTCATTTGATGTACCTGTTTGGTTGTAACTAGCTGCAAGTGTGCTCGTGCTCAGACGCCTGGCAACATAAAATTGGTAATCTCCAGCGGCCTTCTTTCAATGGCGATGTTCCGTGTCGCAGCGTCAAGACGTGGCGGCGTAGTGATTTGACCTTGAAACTCCTTCAAAACGAATACCGATATCCGAAAGTAATCTGGAATTTCTTAGTCAGACAGTGCATGCTCTTTGCTGCACAATTCCATCTGGAAGGTGTGGCGATATCGCTTTAATTCTTGCAAAAAATCTCATCAAATCAACATTTTTAGGTAAAGTCGATTTTTCACTTGTGCAATTGTGTAAAATCATGTTATCAACACTTTTGTTACATATGTTGACGATTGTTTGAACACAATAGGTAGTTAATAAATTAAAAACACAAAATGCCTATGCATTTCTATTTTGGATAGTATATGGTCGATTCCAACGAAAAGTGTACACAGCTGGGTACAAGGTGAACAAAATAGAATGGCTTGCACCTTGTAATTCTTTTTACCAATGTAAAGTCAACATATTTCCTCTTACGAAAATCAGATGCCATCACTAATCTCTAAAATTGACAAGTTGGTGGATCAGTGAAGTTGAAGGCTCATTTTCTAAATTACCTGCAAATACCAACATCATACCTTGTATATCCTGTGATTAGATGGGTTATATGTTGCCTAACATCCAAATTCACTGTTTTTCTGCATGCTTTACGAAAATAGAGCCATTTTGGTACCTTTGATTGATGCAAATGAGATAGCACCACTTAGTGTTCTTTTCAGAAATAAATCATTATTACATCTTATTCATCTGAGAGACAACGGGTGGAACTTTCGGTAAGTACAACAAATTTGAAAATGCAAACATAACTAAATTTTGAGAGGAAGATAAAAACAAATGTACTTGTAGGTAACAAATATCACGTAATTCCTTGTATTTCATAAATGTTTATATATGTCAAACTAAAGCGTAGCTGGTTTATTAAAACATCGAACAGTTTGGAAACTGTTTTCTAAATGCATAGGACATGTGAATGAAGACTGTTTACAACCAGTTTAAGGCTTTCTCTTTGTTTTGTCTCAATGTATGTCTGAAAGTAGCAATGTCATTTAACTGATGGAAATACACTTCTCATCAAAAGTTTAGACTCATAAGAAACACTCACTATATGTTATGTGTGTGTGTGTGTGTGTGTGTGTGTGTGTGTGTGTGTGTGTGTGTGTGTGTGTGTGTGTGTGTGTGTGTGTGTGTGTGTGTGTGTGTGTGTGTGTGTGTGTAAAGAAGTGATTTCTGCAGGTGTATAAGCAATAAATATATAAAATATGACGTCTTTCAGTGGCATTTAGAAGTTGTACATTGATGTCCAAGATATTTTTATGGATTAAACTTCTTTTTAATTTCCCTCACGACGTTTCGAGACCATTCCAGGTCACTGAGTTCACCTGATGAAGGCTTCATCGAAAATGTCTCCATTTTTGACACAGTACGAAATCGCGATTCATAGCGTTATTTGCTGTATGTTTTGAAATGTGAAAATCGGATAATTACATATTCATGATCACTGATATCAGTTTTACAGGAAATCGCTCATGATAATTCTGAAACGTTGCCGATGAATCTAGAATCGGTTGGGATGTTTTCAAATACACTTACACGAACGCCGTAGAGCGCTTTCCGCCATATTGGATAGTGTTTACAAAATCACGTTTCGCGAAGGACGGTATTGACACGCCTATTACATCACGTATATTTCATATTCAGCTTCGAAAAATGCATCACTGAATTCCCCATACATTTTAGAATCAAATTGCAACTGGTCTGTGTCACCAATACCAACTGTCCAGATAAAATGAGTGGAAACATACTGGGTGTGAAAACGAACGCTGTGCTCGAAAGACTGTGCTCGATAGAAATGTAAACAAAGACAAATTCCGATTTTACACTGCGTAGCTTTTTCTGAAATTTTCCAACATTCATCGGTCTATTCATTGCTTGTAATGGCTCAATACCTTTGAAATATGCATGGAAAGAGTATCGTAGCCAGAAATAAGAAATAATAAATAGATACAATGCAATGATTATATAATTCATAAGAAATTGTCAAAGTTTCTGTATAGCGTGACGCCATGACGCAGAACGACAACGGTAATTATCTGCATTTCTGACTTCTTCTCTTACTTACAATGAAAACGATAAAAACATATTATAGTAATACACAGATAGTCAGAATCATTCTGATAACTTCCATCTCATATTTATGTACAAACGATCCCTGAATTAATGTAAGGGTCCTCGCAAAATCCTGTGTACCCTTGTCAGCAAAGCCGCTATCTTGTAAGAAATCGGTCATCGGTAATGATGTCATATGTCAACATTGTTGTACATATTAGGCAATTTCATTGAGGTGAAGGTCGGTTGAACCACAGGGGCTTGTAACGCTAAAAACTGCCATCAAGGTATATAGTGTCACTAACGGGGTCTTATCACTATATAAAAGGAAAGGGATGTAACGAGGTCAACACACCAAGTTCGTTTCAGGGCGAATTCAACAATGATCACTGCATCTGTCCCATTTAAAGTATGCACACACTTCAAGCCAATAGAATTACCTACACAATAAGACATAGAGCACAAAAATCGAAGCCGTACATTGGGAGCTAGGGTCTTCGGAAGCTCGAAAAATCGTGATTTTTCGATTCCGAGCCAAAATCCCTGCTCAGAATTTGAAGCGGTAACTCACCCATTTTCTTGTTTATTTCACAGTATACACATACGACATGCACCAAAACATGCTGAACTGATGGCGCCTGTCAGCGCGCTAGTCGCCATTCTTTCGGAGACATTTACATCTAACTGTCATAATGAGTTTACGTACATTTATTCATCGCAAACAGAATTGTGCCGTGCCCGTTCGCCATTGACGACCTTGGCCTTACCCTGCCCCGCACTGAAAAGAGAAAGCAGTTTGATGGGACATATTTTATTTTTAGCCAATGAGCTCCCTTGCTCTTTTAAGTGCGGGCAGGTTAAGGCCAAGGTCGTCAATGGCGAACGGGCACGGCACAATTCTGTTTGCGAAAATATTTTAGAGGGCAGATTGCAACTGGCGAGTGAAAATGAGTTACATGCCCGATGAAAAGTCGTCTCGACTAGCCGAGACTGTAGGAAGCGTAATTTCTTTCGAATCGATTAATCTATCTGGCAATTCACCTCCGTCACAGATATTAGCAGAAGAAGGGTAACTGAATTTTGTTGTTTGGGTTTATAATTTTATAAAACTCGTGAACACAACCACGTGTTCATGTTGCAGATCGTTTCGGTATCTATAAATAGATTATCAACACTGCGCGTGGTGCCTTTACTTATCCGTTGGCGTTGTTCAAATTTAGTTCAATAATCTGAAAACATGGGTTTCTATCTTTTAATGAATTAAGAGAATGGTAAATAAAAAGCAGAAAATATGTCCCGTCTACTACTTCATGCACCTTATTTGTTTGTATATAATTAATGTAAACAAATCAATCTCAGCATAACCCATTTGATCTTATTTGGAAATCTGGAAAAGGTAACTGGGCTTGTAAACAGTATGTTTCCATGGACGTATCTGGACATACCCAGAAGCAAATATTCAACAGCTGATCTGCAGCAACTCTCAGTAAAGTTTCTCTCTTCAAAATCTGTACAGCATGATAAAAGGACACTGAATATAAGGAAATATTTTTTTTAATCATCATTTCCATTTTATTTTTATATATGTACTTTGTTGTGGAATCCTAATTTACATACAAACTTCCACAAAACTGGACTTCATGAACTGCCAGCGTTTATGTACAGGTATGCCACAGCACCAGAACACAAAGAAGATCCAAGATACAGTCTGCACCTGTACACTAGCTGACCCATCTTCCAGAAATAGGAATTATGTGATGCAAAATCTTGGAACAGAGGATCCACAGTTATCGGAACAATTAACTAGCATTGAAATAGAATGGTACACAAAATGCAAATGTAAATATATTGTTTTTTCATCAGAGATGTTTATCTGCTAACTACTTGATCTAGTGTAAATAAGGTGGACAGAATATATCCTATGTTCAAAGCATTTTGTCAATACTACATATTGATATTATTGCTTCTTAATTAAACAATGATAATCTGAGACCATATCCCTAGAGGACATAACACTGATTTTCCTTTTCAGAGATACTTACTGGTGTCATAAAAATTATAGTAAAGTTGATTCAAAATTTGGTAAAAGTCATAAAAAAGGTTTAGGAAAACAGACATGAAAACGTCCTGAAGCGTTCACCTCCTACAAACCAGTGTGCAATTTAATATGAAGCTCATTTTCAAAATAACCATCAACAAACCTTGAACAATTTGTCCAAATCCATCATCTTAATAAACGCTAGCTTTGGCTCAGTCTTCAAATATTAGTTACCTCCTAAAAAAACTGATGATTTATCAGAAGAATTACATCAAATATGGGCTAAAAATATGTTTCAATATTTATTCCGTTACATGAAAAGTCAACTGAGATTTTTGTAAGTTATTC